TTGAACCGCAAGGTCGGTGGTTCAAGCTCACCAGCCACTCCTCAGAAATCCTATACAGGGTCACTATGGGTTGGAACTGACTTGATGGCACTTAACAACAACAGGTGGCTAGAGCACAGTAGCTCCATACAAGAAGCACAGAACTGAGAACTACAAGGTTTGAGGTTTGAGCGTGGGAAAAAGCTAAGGCCTCTGTTCTTGCAAAGGTTTAAAAAGCCTGAGACACTCTATACAGGGTCACTATGAGTTGGAACCTATTCAATGGCACTTAACAATAACAGTTGGCCAACTGACTCAGTGGCTGGTGGGAAGAACAAGGTGAGAGAGGTCGATTGTGGTTGTGTAGCTGCATGGTTGTATGGTTTTGTGAGGTCATGTGCCTGAGTATGGTTCTGTAATCTATGTGGTTGCATGATATTTGTGGGTGACTAGCTGTGTGTGGTTATATGGTTGTGAGGTTATGTGTAAGTACATTGTTGTGACTGTGTGTTTGTGTGTCTGTGTGAGGTTGTGTGTGTGTTGCTGTATCTGTGTGGTTGTTTAGCTATGTGTCACTCACTATGTGGTAATATGATGTGTGGAACTGTGTGTGGTTATGTGATTGTGTGTGGCTGTGAGTGTACATGGTTATTTTTAATATGAGTAGGTGGGGCTATATGACTGTGTGCGATTGTGTAGCTACATGGTTTTATGGCTGTGTGTAGTTGTCAGTGGGAGCTCAACAGCTCAGCCTCTTGTTGTTAGGTGCTGTTGAGTCAGTTCTGACTCATAGTGAATCTGTGTAGGGTTTTGGAGGAGTGGCTGGTGAGTTTGAACTGGCGACCTTGTGGTTCAAACCGACCTTGCAGCCCAGTGCATTCTCCTGCAGCACCACACCAGAACCCCTGACCTCTTGGAGAGGGGTCCACACCCCACTGGTCCTCATAGCAATGTGTTTCCGGGTGAGCCATTGGATGTCTTTGTGCCTAAGTTTCACCCTTAAAATGTGAATAATTGACATTTCCCACCTTAGAGGGTTTGCTGGGAGAATGAAATGCAAAACAGCCCATTTTCCAACTGGGGAAACTGAGGTTCTGGGGCAGTATCACGTGTGAGGTGGCACAACACACCTAGAGACAGTGGAAGCCCAGGTCTGTGGCCACAGAGACAGCTGGCCCCCTTCCACCTAGGCTGGCGCCAGGGCTGAGCTCTAAGGGGCTGGCTGGGGGCCCAGGGTAGGCTGTTGCCGGGGGTTTGAATAGAAGGGACCAGCCTGGGAATCTGCTGGGTTCAAAGAGCTATTTATAGGCCTGCATTGGGATTTGCCCAGCCTCCCCCCCTCTCATCCCTTGATCCCTCTGTGTTTCCTCCACTGGGGCCCCAGCCAGGGGCTGCTGCAGGGGAGGAGATGGAGAAAAGGACTGGTGGCCAGACCTCAAGAAGAATTGGGTCTCAGAGTGGATAATGTGGCCCTGAATGCCTCCGACTCCCAAAGTGACAGGTGGATACGTGGACATACCCCATTCCGCCATATTTACAACTATCACACACATTGTACCCATAATCACTGACACCCTGTCGTGGTGGTGGTGGTTATGTGCTGTGGAGTCAGTTTCAAGTCATAGCGACACTGTACTTACTGTGTTTCCGAGGCTGTAAATCTTTACAGGAGCAGAAAGCCTCATCTTTCTCCCACAGAACAGCTGGTAGTTTCGAACTGCTGACCTTGAGATTAGCAGCCCGATTCATAACCACTACGCTACCAGAGCTCCTTGATACCCTGTCATAGCCCCAGCCATACAGTGAATAGAATGTAGACTTCACACACCCCAACACACAAGCATGACTCCGCACACAAGCAAACCTGCAGCTGTGTGCTCAAGTCACACCTTCTGACCCCTCCATACTCACATCCACCACCATACACACTACACTATGATACTTACATGTTGCCATAGTTACAGCTTGGGTACAGAACCATGTTCAGTGAACACCCAATGTCATCAGCCACCATACAGTTGCTCCCAGTCACAGCGTCACAGCCACTCCACACCCAGCCACACTTGTGACACCCTGATACCACATGTCACATCCATTCACAGACACTAGGCTAGCCCATAATCAGGGCCAACACCCCAGACTCCCTATTCTGAGTTGGGGAGAGGTATGAGGGATTCCTGTTATACCCTCTCCACACTCACCCCCTACCTTATGCATATTGATACCTATCACCCCTACCCTCAAGAGAAACTAAGGCTCAAAACTCTTAAGAGGGTCTTTTGCTGCCTGCTTCAGGAAGATGGACAGCGAGAATCTCCTTCGGAGCAGCTAACCAGAGATGTCCTACTACCCCAAACTTGCTGTCTGGCCTCAGAGAGGCTGATTCTCTCTGAGCCTCCATTTCCTTCCCAGAAAAGTATAGAGCCCAGCCCAGCAAAGGGTATTCTTGAATCAAACTGGAACTTGAATCTCAGTCCCCCCTCCACATAAGCTCTCCCCCAGTGACTCTGATCAAGTCACTTTATTTCCCCTTGCCTCAGTCCCCTTCCACCTCCCCCCATTAACCAAAAGAGTCACTGTTGGCCCTTCTAGAGCTTCCATTGCTTCATATCCCCTGGGAGGGGGAGAGTGGTTTGGCTTCTTCTCCATCCAAGCAAATGAATGGGCCACTTCTGGCTGCCCTGCTGGAAGCCTGGAGCTCTTAATTCCCTGGAGAAACAGGAGGCTCTTTCATGCCTGGGAGCCAGGGAGGGGTGAGAAGGCAGGAAGAGGGTTCAGAGCTGGCCTCCTACCAGTGACAAGGCAGTCCTATGCCAAAGCTGGGCGTGATGAGGAGGGATGTGGAGGTTGTGCATACACTCACTGGGGACTTTGGCCTAGTCATTGCATCCTCACTGTAAACTGGGGGTGGGGTGGGGGATGGTGGCAATGGGACTAGCCACTGCAGTGTCCATGAACCAATGAATGGAAACGAAACTCATCTTGGAGTTCCACAAACAGCAGACTCTTAACAAATGCATCACTGTTGTGTCTCAGCCCAAGGAGCTCACACATGGAATCCTCCAACAGTCCTATAAAGAGAACTGTCCCCATTTTACAGATGAGCAAACTGAGACTCAGAGAGGTCAAGATGCTTGTCTGAGGTCACAAAGCCAACAAATGGCATAACTAAGATTTGAACCACATTTGGCTCTTCCAGAGTCGTTTTTTCCTAGCTACTTCTCTGGGAGAAGGGCATTTCTTGTCAGCTCCAGCCCTGAGACCAGCATAGCTAGGTCTGAATGGCACCAGATCATGCTTGAATGCAGTAAGTCCTGGCAGGCAGGGTTGGATGGGGCAAGGCTGGATGGGGCAGGCCATTCCACTAGTGACCCAGTTTCCCAGGCAGCCCCCTTTTAGGGGTGGGTTTGGGCAGACATCAGTAGGATGCCAGAGGACCGCTTCCCCAGCCTTTGAAGGAAGGGTCTGCACCCTTGTCATTAAGCTAAAGCCAGGAACTGTGGTCTCTTGCCAGCAGCTAGCTGCTCTGTCTCAAAATCCTCCATTCATAAAGATCTGAAGGTGTCGTGCCCTTCCTCAAGCACCTTCCATGACTCCTCCTAGCCCAGCATGATCTGGCTCCACAAATATAATTCCAATTCATTTTCTTTAACCCAAGCAGGCTCCTGCTTAGAACACTGTCTTTAATTTTCTCACCCTGGCCAATCCACTAAAGTGCAGCTCTACCTCCTCTCCTTCAGAAAGCCCTCTTCCCAAGTGAAGCCCCAAGCTCCACCAATCCCATCTGTTCCTCTGGCCCAGCCCTAACCTCATAGGGCTTGGAGTGTCTGTATCTAGTTGTCTTCCTCAGTTGTGGGCTTGTCAGGCACTGGTCTGGAGCTGAGGTCTCTCCCTGCCCCTATTGTCACCTATCTTAGAGAAAGAAATAAGAATCAGGGTAAGATGAAGTGATGGTAAGAGGTGTTTAGTGAATCAGTGAACCATTTAGGCTTTGTGTGACCTGAACTTGGTGAGCTCCTGTTCATCCCTCAACACCCTCTTCGCATGTTTCTTTGATATCCCAGGCAACATTGATGGGGAAGGTAGGTTTGGAGGCTGAATCTATTCTGTCCCAGAAGGGGCCAGCACTGTGACCTCTTCCTTAGCAATTCCTTCAGCCTCTGAGAGGCAGGGAGGTGTAAGAGGTTTCAGGCTGCATTAGCACTTTGGCAATGTATTTGCTGAACTTTCCTAATTTGCAAAGTATTCGTTATAGGAAGTCTTTAGGATGGCAAAGTCAGTGCTCTGTACCTTACATCAAGAAACATCATCCCGCACGTAGTGGGTTCTCAAACGCTTTCAGTGTTGGTTTTTTTTTTTTTTTTTTACTATTGTGAGGATGGTGCAGGACTGGTCAGTGTGTCACTCTGTTGTGCATGTTGTTAAGAGCCTTCGAATCGGTTCCCACCCAGAGCGGCTCTGTATAGTGTTTCTGAGGAGCGGCTGGTAAGCTTGAACCACTGACTCTGCAGTTCATACCGACTTTGCGGTTCAGTGCATTAACCCACAGCACCACACCAGGATTCCATGTTGTGCATAGGGTCGCTGTAAGTCGGAGTCTACTTCATGGCATTTAAATTGGGAAAGAAATCACTGGGCGCAGGCTCTTTAAGAGGTGGGCATGGAGGGGGCGGGGCCATGTTATGTTCCGCCCATAGGAACGGGGCAGGGCGGTGACCGTGTGTCTTCCGGCGTCTGTGCCGCTTGCACGCGGTTCCGGGTCCCGGCTTCTGGATTGTGGCGCTTGGCGCGGGGGAAGCCGAGGCTCTGGGCGAGAGGGTGGCTACTCTAGCTCAGCAGGTAGCCGGATTCCCCTCTTTCCACCCGCTGTGAAAAGCCCGATACCTGCGCCCTGGCAGTTTCCCTGAGTCCCCTAGTTTTTCTGACATTTACGTCTGGAGTGGGGCTGGAATGGCGTCTGGCCCCAAGCCACAGGTGAGCACTTCAGAGGTCTGAGCCCTGTGCAGCCTTGTGGAACCAGTATGACCCACTCTTTGGTTTGTTCGGAGACCTTGAGCAGGTGAGAGCCTGAACCAGAGCCCCACGTAGGTGGAGTTGGGGGGATGGAGAGGTGGGGCCCGGGTGCTTGGCTCTACCTGTTTTCCTCATTTTCACCCTGGTGCCCTCAGGGTGAGTTCCGTGCTGAATCGCAACACCAGGGACTTTGGGAAGAAGCATCTGTTCGACAAGAATGAGGAAACCTGCTGGAACTCGGACCAGGTAAGGCAGGTTTCTGGACCCCCAATCCTAGTCTGAATCAGATCCAGGACCTAAGGTGCCCCGAGAACTCACAGTATCCCAATTGGGGACCCTAGGAGTGGAACGTTATGTTGGACCTCCTGTGAACTGTGTGAGAAATAGGCATAGTTGGTTCTGAGCCTTGTGGTACAAGCCTCAATTTCTTCATCTGCTTCTAGGGCCCCTGCCAGTGGGTGATGCTTGAGTTCCCTCAGTGTGTCTGTGTTTCCCAGCTGCAGATCCAGTTCCAGGGGGGCTTCTCAAGTCGCAGGGGCCGCCTGGAAGGTACTGGGAGGTCTTGGGGCATGATGGGGGGTAGAGGGCCTCCCGCCCCTCCCCACACCCACCATCTGTCTTTTTCTGGGCCCCAGGATCCAGAGGAACTGAGGCACTTTGTAGGATTGTGGACTTCTACCCTGAGGACAACAACTCACTTCAGATATCCTGTGAGGTGGTAAGGTGCTGGGGTGGTCTGGTCCTAAGGACATAGGACTGACTACCTGGAAGTGATCTAGCACAAAGCATAGGTTCCCACTTTATCTGTAAAATGGCACAATTATAGCCAATTCTGTGGGAAGCTAAAAGGGACCCAGGTCACTCAGCATTGTGGTGTTGCCTACCCAGGATCTAGGAGGGGTGGGGACTGATGGATGGGCAACTCAGAGCTGTACGTTTCCTTTGACTTGCCTGTGCTCACACCTTCCCTGTGCCAGCCACCAAGCTGGACCGGCTGAAGGTGACCTTCGAGGACATGTCTGACTTTTTTGGTCGCGTGGTCATCTACCACCTGCGGGTGCTGGGGGAGAAGGAGTGAGGCCTCCTCTAGGAAACCCTCAGGGAAGCACAGGCCAGCCGTGGAGTTCTGCACACAGTTTATTGGTTCCTCTCGGAACGGCCCTCTTCCACCACTGTCCCGAGCATCTCCCCATGGCTGGGAAGTGGAAGCCACCTCTGATGCCAGTTCTGGGTTGACTGTTTTGTTCCCTGAGTGTCTGAGTCCCTGATGGCAGCCTTCACTCGGGGTTGGTGGGCACAAGGTTACTCTGAAAGAGCTTGAGAATGTGGTTCTCAATCACCTGTTGCACTAGAGACAGGGAAGAGAAGTGAAGAACTTGTGCTGTGATCTTGAGTGAGGCCTGAGACACAGGTACCACCCAGCTGCACCTGTTTCTTGGGGAGTGAGTAGTGGGTCTCCCAACCCTGATACCTTGGCGGGTCCAGGGGATTCACACATCCTCCTCCAAGCACACAACTAGGAACCCTGTACGTCTCCAAAGCTTGTCAGAATGTCCTTGTTCTTGGTGAGTTTTCAAAGCTATAAAGGTTAGTTCTAAGCAAACCAAATTGGTGGGTTGTGATTTTTATGAAAAGACAGGGGTTGGAAAGAATGGCTTCTGTTCCATATGAACAAAACTCTCCAAAAGGGAGGTGTTTTTCAAGCTTTCTATCTCTTCATGACCCTGAGGAAAGGGGTTGGTTCTGTAGGATCTCCCTGTTTTTCAGATGGGAAGCTAGGTCCTATTGTAATGGGGAAGGGGGTTCTAACTGGGGTCTGCCAATATATCCTGATACCCACCTCCCACCATGGGTTCCCTGTCACCCTAGAAGAGGGAGAAGGCCAGACCCTGGCTCTGTGTGCTATAGCTGGCCTACATGCCTTTGGGTCATAACACTCTGGGCCTTTGCCTGGGCTGTTCCTCCTTCCAAAACCACTCTTCTAGGGAAGCTCCCCTACCTGGGCTGGGCTTTGCCTCAGTGCCTGTGTGTCCATATCATGGCCCCAGCCACTGAGGCACGTTGACTTCCCTCCCCAGCATACTAGGATCTGTGGGGGCCAGTACACACACAGCAGGTGCCCAATGTTTGCTGGGGTGAATGCTCACTGCCAACATGGCTGGCATCTAACGTGGTCACCCACTGACAGCATCACATTACCACTCTATGCCTCAGACCAACCTTTGCGGTATCCTAGGGCCACAGCAAGGTCCATTGGGGTGTAGCCAGAGTCAGCCTCCGTGGTGAGGTCAGCTCCTCGGGCTAGAAGCAGAGTGATGGCAGATGGGGGCAGCTAAAGGGGGATGGAGGAATACGGGGGGAGCCCGAGGGTACTGGATGGGGGATAGAGAGAGGGGGACTGAAAGGAGTGTTAGATGGAGGCTGGAGTGGGGCTGGGAGCCCAGAATCAGGGCTTAGAAGCTCCAGTGATTTCCCACCTTGTAGCCAAGGGTCTATGTTTGCCCATGTGACCCTGAACAGTTGGCCTCTCCAAGCCCCAGTCTTCTCTGATGAAGGACCTTAGTCCCATCAGGTCAGACCCAGACCCCCATGTTCTCCTTCAGCCTCCTCTCACCCAAAATGGTCTGGGTGGAGCTGCCCCAGCCCCCGAGGTTTCCTAGCTAGGGCTCTGGGCCCCACTTACCCAGCAAGGCCTCCACGCACTTAACGTGGTTCCCCCGCACAGCATACAGCAAGGGAGTCCCTCCATTCTGCAGTGGGGGGAGGGAAGACAAGTTCTAGCTTTTCCCAATCACTAGGACTGGCCTTCCTCTGGCCTCTAATCTGCCAGGGCTTCTCCCCCAATTTAATACACTGCCATAGGTCTCCTTCCTCAGAGCTTGGAGCAGACAGCCTTACCTCTGGGAAGTCCTCCTTGACCATGCTCACCAGATGGCACTTCTAGGCTGTTGCCACTGCCTGTGCACTGCCCATCACAGCGCTGCCCACTACATCGAAGCTGCCTGTGTACTCATCTGCCTCCCCCCAAGAGTGGGAGTTCGGGGTCAGGTCTGTCTGTGTTTTTAGACTCAAGAGCAGGACCTGGCCCCAGACCATGCTCAGTATGTGTTTGGGCAGGAACACAGGCCAGGAGGCTGTGTTGGAATGGACGCCTAGGCCAGTGAGGTTGGAGCCTGGGGCAGCAAAGCAGGCACACAATGGGGTGGGTAGGTGGCAGGGCATGCCCTCACCCAGTCATAGATGTTGATGTCCACGTCCCGCTCCAGCAGTAGCCCCACGATGTCTGTGTAGCCACCTGTGCTGGCCAGTGACAGGGCACTTTCCCGCTCCTTGGCCAAGATGTGTGGATCGGCCCCCTGGAGGCAGAGGGGGGTAAAGGGGGCAATGGAAAGGAGAAAGGAGAAGGAAGGTTGGGGTAGAGAGGTGGTAAAGGGGGGTAGGGAGGTGAGGAGTAGAGAAGTGGTAAGGGGAGGGGGCAGAAGGAGAGTGAGGAAAGGGGTTAGGTTATTTCAGGAAACATGGGGCCCCCACTACAGCCCAATTTCATAGACCAGGACTTAGTAGATATAGCCAAAACCCCTTCCCGCTTGCCCAAAGGCCAGAGGGATCCCCCAATTGGACCCAGACTCACCCACTCAAGCAGGAAGCGGACAGTTTCGATCTCACCGAAGGCCGAGGCCCAGATGAGGGGTGTAAAGCCACGCTCATCTGGTTTGTTGACTAGGTTGTCCCCTGGAGGAAGGGGCAGGGCAGGAGCTGAGGTCAGAGCCAAAGAGAGGGTGGGAGGAAAGCACACAGGTAGAGGCACACAGAGTACATGTGTTCAGACAGGGCTCGATATACCAGCACACCCATGCGGACACGACAGCATACACATCGTTGACACACACCTTTCCTCAAGTGTTCCTTCAGCTGGCTCAGCTCCCCCTGGGCTGCGAGCTGGTGAATGGATAGGGCTGCGGGCCAGAGAGAGGGGGAGAAGCTGTTGGGGAGTCCTTATTTGTCCCACGCCCTCTCTGGGCCTTAGTTTAGACCTGTCCAAAGGGGCACCTCTCCATTCCTCCCCAACTGGCCCCCGGAGACCCTGGGCGCTACTCACAGTCCAGGGTGGCTGGCAGGGCCGAGACCTCATTCCCACGCTGCCTGTTGGTGAGGGTGGTGGAGTGCTTCAGGGAGCTACCTGCTGGGAGAGAGGGCAGAGACATCAGTGTCCCCTCACTGTATGTCTCAAGGACTGTACGGAAGACCCTGGAGGTTTGCAGCTACTGAAGACAGTGCCTGAGACTGTAATCCTTATCTGCCCCACCTTCTCGGATACCCAGGGGTTATTTTCTTCTCTGGACAAACAAGATGGGTCCTGTTCCCAGGGAGCCCAAGGCAAGGGGGTAAGTCAGGCAAAGAAATAGAACAAAACTTTCAAGTAGAAATACTGCTCAGAAGAAATAAAGAACAGCTATATGGTGACAGAAAGGCAGAGGGAGAGTCTATTTTACATGAGGTCAGAAAGGACATCTCTGAAGAGGTGACCAACTGAGATTGAGATAAGGCAAAAACCAGGCACAGGAAGAAGTGGGGGAGGAGCAGCCAAGGCAGAGGGAGCAGCAAGTGCAAAGGCCCTAGGGTGGACTGAATTAGACTTGTTCAAAGACTCAAAACTCAACCTTTGGTCCCTCAAAAGGTTAAATGTAAAATTATCCTATGACCCAGTAATTCCACTCCTCGTTTTCTACCCAAAAGAACTGAAAACAGGTATTCAAATAAATCTTTGTACACAACTGTTCATGGTAGTATTTTAATAACCAAAATGTGGAGACAACCCAAAAAGCTACCAACAGACAGAAGTAAGTAAGACAGAAGTAAGGGTGTCCACAAAAAATGGAATGTTATTCAGGCACAAAACAATAACAAACTTCTGATACATGCAATGCCATGGATTAGCCTTGAGAAATTAGGCTCAATGAGAAGCCAGATGCACAAGGTCACAAAGCGTTTGATTCCACTTACATGAAATAGCCACCAAAAAACAAACTAACCGTCATGGACTCATACTGACACAAGAAGCCAGACGAGCTGCTCTATAGTTTCTGAGACTCCATCTTTACAGCAGCAAACTGCCTTCTCTTTCTCTGGCAGAGTGGCTGGTGGGTTTGAATGACTGACATTGAGCTTAGCAGCCCAATGTTTAAACCACTGTGCCACCAGGCTACTTCATGAAACATCCAGAATAGCTAAATTCACAAAATGGTGATTAGTGGTTGCCAGGAGCTGTTGTTTAAGTGCCGTTGAGTTGCTTCTGACCCATAGCCACTCTGTATAGCGTTTCTGAGGAGCGGCTGGTGAGCTTGAACCGCCATACTTGTGGTTCAAATTGACTTTGTAGTCCAGAGCATTAACCCACAGCACCACACCAGGTCTCCTGCCAGGGCTGGGGAAGGGAAAATGAGTGAGAATGCTGGTGTTCTGTAACTGGATAGAAGTGGTGTCTATACAACATTGTGAATGTACTATATATACTACTCAATTGTTCACTTTAAAATGGACATTATAAGTAATGTTAAAAATGGAATTATAAATAAGTCAGGAAGTACTTTGATGGTTAGAAGAAAAGGCCTGTCCCAGGTAACAGGACCACAAAACAAGAGGACTTATTTCTATTGTCTGACTTACCACCTATAGCACATCAGTCCCAGAGGAGGAGTCTTACCCTGTGGTGAGGGGACCCCAGCATCCACTTCAGAATTTCCAGGCTCTGGGGTACAGGGGAAGAGGCTGAGGACCACAGTGTCTGAACTGTCAGGGGTCTCATCTCTGAGTTCTTCCAGATTCCTGGACTCTGGGACAGGGGGAAACTGGGCCAGGCAGAGGTCATCTGCAGGCTGGGTGGGCTCCATGCAGGAAGCTGGTGAGACAGGCCAAAGGATCAAGATGACAGTAATTATCATCAACAGTTCTTATCAAGTAGGATCAGACTATACCTAGCCAAGGTAGGTAAACTGAGGCTGGTGTTAATTGTCAGAATGTAACAGAGTTAGCAAATTAAACCAGAGCTCAATTGCTTTACAGTGGTTCCTTCCCTCCCCGCCCCCCCCCCCCCCCCGGGCCTCGCCCCCTTCTCCCAATGGTACCACCAACATGCAAAGGTTAAAAGTCCCAGGTTAGACTAGGGATTGGATTCCCTCCTTTGCCTCTTAACAGAACTTGAGCTTATGACTTAACCCTGTGTGCCTCAGTTTCCTAAAAACAAAGTCTAAAGAAATCAGGGTACCTTATTCACAGGCAAAGCTTAATACTAGCTATGGTTTTTTTGTGGGGGTCTCCAGAAAGAGTGAGGTCTTAACAAAGATGTGACTGACCCCAGTAGTCCCACCCACTCTTCCCTACCGAATTCAGGAGGCCAACTCACCTCCCCACGAGTCTCCTCTGTCTCCCCGCGCCTCAAGCCGGGGTCCCCCCAAACTTGGAGGCTCAATTCAAACTTTTCTCCTTCACTTGATCTATGAGGGGCAGGCTGGAACCTAGTCCCTCAGCGTCCTAGCTTCTTCAGTCGGGACAGAGTAACTTGATAACACGACTGCTACCCCCACTCCCGAACTCCCCCACTGCGCCTGCGCACCACCGTCCCCCAAAAGTGCGGAAAAACCCGAGCTTTAGCAACTGGTTCTGGCCCTTTAAAACTCGGGGGAAGGGGCGTGGCTTCCGCTGGGACCTGAGAAACGCAGTTACGCCTGCGCACTCTTGGCCACAAAGCTCGGGAAGGATGGGCGGGGTCTTTGAGAGCTCCGAGGATTTCAAGGAGTCTGCGCGCCCATGCCAAACTCCGCCCAGAGTTTTGTCTCGAAAGAACCAAACTGCATCACGTTTTGAAGCATGGGAGGAGCTTTCCCCAACTGGGAGGGCGGGAATGAGCAGGTGGTTAGTCCTGGACTTAAAGGAACAACATACCTATTGCCGCCCCCTTCTATAAAAACGTCTCTCCTGCAGGCCCGGAGGCCCAAGAAGGGCGTTTTTACGGTCTGTGGCGAAGTGTGTGGAGTGTCCCCTAAACTCGTCAGAACCAGAAAAAAGTTCTGGAAAGAAATCCTTTGCTTCTCTCGGTCTGGACCTTCCTCCAGAAGCCTGGAGGGGTCTTCATCCCCTCCTTACCCACCCACGGTGTGCCTCCTCTTCTCCGTCTCTCTCACAACTCCTCTCCTATCCCGAGAGACGGAGGGGTGAGGAAAGCAGACCGACTGGTACCGGAACTGGAGTAGACCGGCGTCCGGTTTTAATAGCGGAAGGCTAGGGCAGACGTTCTCGTCTCCAAACTTCCGGTTCCGATCCCAGGGATTCCGTTGATCGCAGCAGCTATGGAAGAACCGGAGATGCAACTCAAGGGGAAGAAAGGTGGAGCGGGGCCCTGTACGGGACGGAGGGTGCCGCGTGGGGGTAACTCGCGGAGTGGCTGGAGGTCGAGTAGGGGCTCGGAGCGGAGAGAGGACGGGGGTTATGATTGAGCCGCCATTTAATCACCAGGTCTTGAAAAGTTTCGGTTTCTGGGTTTTGTAAAATGGAAAGAATAATAGACTACCCCATAGGGTTTCTTGTGAGACTCTCTCTGAAGGTATTTGCAAAACGTTGGAAGTGCGCGTGGCAGTTGCTTTGTGTATTGCTTCCTTATTTCTTTATACATTTACGCATTTGTATAGATTAGATTGTATAGTAATAAATGGTAAGTTCTGAGTCATAGTGACCTTTGGTCAGTCCTGCGCCGTTCTCGCCCGTTGTTGAAAATGTTACGAATAGCAGCCAACATTGTTAGCTACACAGGTCTGTATCTTACTGCACATTTATTCTAGTTGGTTATTTAGAAAGCGCAACCACATTTAAGTCCCCTCAAGTCCTTTTGTGGCGCTGTAGGATAAGCAGTGGGCTGCTAACCACAAGGGCAGCAGTTCAAACCTACCAATCGCTCGGGAAACCATATACTGGGTCCTTATGAGTCCGAACCAACTCCAGGGCACTTAACAACAACAAAAAACATGTAAGGTGTAAGCTATTATGATGTACGTTTTCAAGATTAGGAAAAATGGATCTCAAACACATCTGGCTTCTCCCTCACCAGGCACACTGCCTTGGCCAGTCACACCAACTCTATTCATGTTGCAGACTTTGAGCTGAGTACTGTTACTTGCTATTTGCAGATGAGGAATCTGAGGCTGAGATGCCCCTGTCCTCAATGAAGTCAAGCTTAATGTCTTTGTAAATGCACATAAGAGACATTCTTAAGGTCCTGAATTGAGAATAGTGAAGGGGGCATCTGATTAAGCTTGGTGCCCAGAGAGGGCCTCTCCCAGGAGGTAACTTTTTTAGCTGAGGCCTAAGGAATGAAGGACTTGTGGTGTGGTGCTGTAGGATCATCACTAGACTGCAAATCACAAGGTCAGCAGTTCAAACCTACCAGCTAGCTGTTCCTTGAAAACCCTATGCAGGGATGCTATGAGTCAGAACCTACTAGACGGTACTTAACAACAACAAGGAATAAAGAAGAGCCAGTGGGGCTGGAAGAAGGTGTCAAGGCCTGGGGTTGTTAGGTACCGTGGCGTCTGTTCCAACTCATAGCGACCCTATGCTCAATAGAACGATACACTGCCTGGTCCTGCTTCATTCCTTAATCATTATGTTTGAGTCCATTGTTGACACTGTGTCAGTCCATATCCTTGGGGCTTTTCCTCTTTTTCTTTGATCCTCCAAGCATGATGTCCTTCTTCAAGGACTGGTCCCTCCTGACAACATGTCCAAAAGTTGAGAGGCAGAGTCTCACCATCCTCATTTTTAAGGCACATTCTGGCTGTATTTCTTCCAAAAACAGATTTGTTTATTCTTCTGGCAGTCCATGGTACTTTCAGTATTCTCTAACACCATGATTCAAATGAGTCAATTCTTCTATGATCATCCTTATTTATTTTCCAGTTTTTACATGCATATGAGGTGTGGCGCTGTGGGCTAATGCGCTGGACTGCAAAGTCGGTTTGAACCACAAGGTTGGCTGTTCAAGCTCACCAACTGCTTCTTGGAAACCCTATACAGGGTCGCTTTGGGTTGGCACTGACTCAATGGCACTTAACAACAACAACAACGTGAGGTGATTCAAAACACCATGGCTTGGGTTAGGCACACCTTAGTCCTCAAACTGACATCTTTGTTGGCTAGGGGTGGGAATTGATTTGGAATTGTGCTGTCTAATACAGTCTCCAATGGCCACAGAAGAGTACTTAAGCTTGAATTAAAGTGGTAAAATTAAAGTTGGGTTCCTCAGTCACACTGACCACATTTCAGGTACTCAGTTGCTATATGTTACTCCCATATTGGACAAAGAAGATTTAGGCCGTTTCTGTTATTACCGTTCACCTGAGCAGCGCTGGGAGTATTTAAAGGCCATTGTTGGCGGGAGGGAGCAGAATGCAGGGAGCTGAGCAGTGACTGCATCATGCGGGGTCTTATGGGTGGTGATAAGGAAGATTGGTTTTATTCTCTGACTGGTGGGAGCCATGGGATGGGGTTCAAGCAAGAGCAGGGCATATCCATGCAACTTGCTCTGACTGCTGCATGGATATTGGAGGCAAGAGGGGAAGCAGGGGGATTCGGGAGGTAACTGGGCTGGGACCCAGGCAGGGCACAGGAGTGCCTGGATTAGTGTGGGTGGTAGAGTGGGTGCACATGGATGAGATTTGGACTGTATTTTGTGACACAACAAGCATGGTCTCCTCACAGTTGGGGTAGGGTTGGGGTGAGGAGGACTAGGCACAACTGGAAAGATGGAAGTGCCGTTTGCAAGAGCAACCTCAGATGAAATCCCACCGGGGAGTTCAGGAGGGCCGTCATGCTTCAGTAGGCTTTCCTACCCTATGTGGCCGCCCATGCATGAGGGCTGGCGTGCTGTGGATGCCTAGGCACTTCCACATCTAGTAACCTGTGGGCGTCCTTCAGAGAAGAGTCTCAGGTGTAGTCTTCATGGGTTTGAGTGCCCCAGGCAGCACCAGCGTGTCCATTTCAGTGATTTGGGAGGGGAAAGATCATGGGTTCACTGGCCGCATTAGCATCCTTATCAGTGAGGCTGTGGTGCCAAAGGTCCCCTGGAAGGGCCTTGTTATGACTGTCTCCCCCAGCCATTGACCTGCTGGGTGGGGGTAACCCTACTAATCTCCCTCTGGCTGGTGTACAGGTTGGGGATTGTGACCCTGATGCTTTGTCCCTTCATTTTCCCTCTTTCTGCCTGGCTGTCCTTGGGATCTGGACCTAGTCACAGACAAGTTCACAGAGAGCCTGTACGTGCTGGCCAATGAGCCATCTGTGGCACTATACCGGCTGCAGGAGCATGTGCGCCGCTCCCTGCCAGAGCTAGCCCAGCACAAGGTGAGTCCCCGCCCCACCGTGGAGTGCTCCCACATACTCCTCCCCTACACCAGGGCAGGAGGGTGGCTGGGAAGGCCCATTGTGTGAAGCTAGGGCCATAGGAGTGGGGGTGTGGATAGGAGTCAAGTCAGACTCCAGTGAGGTGGTAGCTGGTGGCCCAGCCAGGTTGGGCTGTGGAGACAGACCTGTGTGTTGAGAAGGAGGTGGGACAGGCAGAGGGAGCAGCTGTGTTGAGACCTGGAGGCCCAGGAGGCCCGGTTAGGGAAGAAGAGGATTTGTAGGAAGAACGGTCTGGGCTGGTAGGCGGGAGGGCTCTGCGGTCACAGTGCTTGCCCTCCCTCCAGCAGCAGCCCCCCTATCACACTCCATCCCTGCAGGCTGACATGCAGCGGTGGGAGGAGCAGAGCCAGGGCGCCATCTATACAGTGGAGTACGCCTGCAGGTGAGTGCTCAGCCTCCCATCGTGCCCTCCACCCTCCAGGGTCTCCCTGCTATGACC